AAAAAAAAAAAGTGATCAACACTGCCAGATAAAATCATGGATTAACAAAATACTTGACTATAGTAACAATGTAGTTCACCGGATAGCTCGGTTTATGGAGTTATCCATCTATACTTATTTAAAAAGCAATCCTATTTATTAGAATTAGTAGTATGAAAAGTCAAAATTAATTAATGCATTCTATTTTCATCAAGTATTTTATTTAATTGTTTTATTTTATAACACCTTTTCAATACAACTTACCATGATTTTTCTATTGTGATTAAAATCAGATTTCACGTTTAAAATCTTGTGAAATTATTATTATTATTATTATAAAGCACATATTATTCGTTAAGAATATATATATATATATATATATTATACACATCACAGTACCATGTTAGATGATTTAAATTTCAACCGAACAAAATGCCAATGATTTAAATTTGAACACACCTATGCGTTTGATCAAATGTCTGGATGATTTATAATTGAGCCATAAAGAATTATTTAAGTTTGAACACACTAGAAATTTATGTACTTTTTATTTATAAATATATTGAAAGTGGTATTTAATTGCTGTTATCTAAACTATTTTAATGTATTTGCAATGAATAAAAATTTGAATGAATAATTTGTAATGTTATTCATTATGTTTGTGTAACATCCCGACTTTTTAATACTATCAGAGTACGCATTTTTCGCAATTTTCTGAATAAACAAATAAAATATTTCTTTTGCGAAAACTGATTCGGGATGCTACCGTGAAAAACTTGACTTTTCTGAAAACCGTTAAAATTTTAAACTGATAAATAAAAACGGTTATAATGTCTTAACCGACTAACGTCGGAACAAAAGCTGAAAATAACTACTGATAGTTTTAGCGGAAATAACTGCGTGGCAAAACATATATACATATATGCACATGAAATATCCTGAACTGCCCGCCAGCTCACTCCTCGTCCCCGACCCTGCGACCTGAAAAACATGAAATACGTGGGGGCGTGAGCACTAAAACACTTGTGCTCCGCAGAAACTCATACTAATGTAAACATTGAAAATAATAACAATATCATGATCTTAGCATATATAACTGAACTGAAACTGAAACTGAAACTGATATCTGATACCGGTCTGATCTCGCGACATAAGTCACGTAACTGATAACTGAACATCTGTCGGCACAAACTAATACCGAAATCTGCTGGCACAAACTAATACCGGACAATGTGCACACTCTAGTGGGTAGATTAGGCCACTAGAACCCAGAATGGACCGGCGACCATTCCGAGCGGATACTGAATATACATACCTCAAACATGGTAGCGATATTATA